CTACCTTACTTCCTTGGCACAACAAGTGCATATTCCTTAGGAAGTCTGTTCTGGGCACTAGGCCCTTTTCTAGTTCTGCAGTGTTTTGTTTTTATTGAATTCTTTATTTTTGTTTTTAAAGCTTGTTCTTACCAACCACATGTCCAAATTTCAGGTTGCTCATACCTATTGCAGTGTCCTTCTCTAGGAACATCCAGTGCCAATACTAACTACAGTATACCACAGCTATCAGATCCTGCATCCTACCCCTCTGGGACCCTCTCTGAATATTCCAATCTCTTTTCCTTTCAGTTCTTGGTACAGCCACCGTGACTATTATAATAGTGTCCCTAAATGCTAAAGGACTTAACAATCCGGTCAAGAGATCTTCCTTATGGAAGCTAGCAAAGGACTCGAGCTGTGATGTTTTGTGTACACAAGAGACGCACTTTCATGAGGCATACCAACCCTCATGCACCAACAAAGACTTCCCTCGTGTTTACAACAAGCACATACGTGAAAAAAAAAGGGTTTACTCATGGCAATCGTTTCATATCAACTCCATGACAGTATTATAGACCCAGAAGGTTGTTATATCATTCTCTCATGTACCCTCAACAACTCATGATACACCTTAGTATTAGTATATGTCCCTAACACACACTAAGTGCGTTTTTTGCAGAGACTGTGGAAGAAAATCAGCACTGTTCAACAAGGTTCTCTCATCTGGTCTGGGGACTTTAACATCATTCAGATCCACTCCTGGACTCCTCAACTCCACCTAAAAGAGGCAAGCCCACCTTAGGTTCCCTCCTACAAGATCTCCAACTGTATGACGTGTGGATATGTCAGCATGCGGGAGAGAGTGTCTATACCTTCTTTTCTGCATGCCACAACTCCTATTCCAATATAGATATCTTCCTCACGGACCAATGACTCTTACAAAAAATTTCCTCCTCCACTACCAATTACCAGTGCAATCATGCACTTGTGTGTATTTCCATTGAGGACACTCCTGGTTCTTACCCGACTTTTATGTGTGGTGTCTGAATACCCACCTCCTGCAAGCCACTCTGTACACAGAAGAACTTAGAAAGCAGTTGGAGGACTTCTTTCAGTTAAATATAAACTCTGTATCTGACCCAATGATGTTTTGGGTTTTTTATGCGCGGTTTTTATTTATAAAATTAGGATCCAGAGATAGGAAGCAGAGGATGCAGCACATCAATAGCTTAATCACTGAAATCCAAACTACTGATTCCTTAAATAAACAACAAGCCAACCCTGCCCTAAGTCCAAAGTAGGCCATCTTAGATTAGAACTGTGATCCTTGTTATTGGAAAAAATTTAAATGTCGCACATGTGTTTTAAAAATGTCCTTTTATGTTTCCGGCAACAATGTAAACTTGTGGCCCAACAAGTTAAAGGTTACCGTGCTAAATTGCACATTCCCTTCTTGTACCATCCTACTACCAAGCAGAAGCTCCTCAATCCACAGGATATAGCCAATGCTTTTAGCTTGTACTATAGCATGTTATACAATTTAAAAGATGACCCTTCGCTATTACAACCCACATCGGCTACTATCCAAACCTTTTTACATAAATGTGAATCTGCCAAGCCTAACTGAAACCAAACTGGATAATCTCAACTCCCTGTTTACTGCCATAGCAATTTCCAAAGCGAACAAATTCACCCCGATCAATCAGGATTCATCAAGGATGACAAACCTCAGTTGCCACATAATTCATCATGCAGAGCGTCAAAGAATGCCTTCTAGGCTCCTCTCTCTGGACGCAGAGAATGCGTTCAGTAGAGTGAATTGGACATACTTAGCCCTGATCCTGCAAAAATTTGGTTTGCAAGGCCACATATTCTCTGCAATAATGGCCCTCTATTCACGTCCATCTGCTCAGACTTATTGCAGAGCTATGTTATCCAAATTGTTCAGTATCACGAATAGTACTAGACAGGGATGTCCCCTCTCCCCCCTTATTTTCATCCTCCTCATGGAGTCCCTGGCGGAGAATGCAGTCTTTTGTATTGGCTCAAGGGAACATAAAATTAATTTATTTGTGGACGATGTGATACTGATGTTAACCAACCCGGCTTCCTCCCTGGCTTCGGTACAGCATGTCTACTTTCAGCTCTGTTTCTTATTATAAGGTAAATTACACCTAATCATTTATTCTCAATCTAGGGCTACATCCCACTCAACAACTTTCACAAGCAGCGAAATATCCCCTTGTCTGGGCCAAGGACACTATAAGCTACCTGGGTATCAAATTAACCAAAACAGTGTCCTCTTTATTTCAAGCTAATTATTCCCCCTTTTCACTTACTCTACAAAAAGATCTTGAACACCTCTCCAAACTAACCCTTACTTGGTCCAGAGGGTAATCGGCATTTAAGATGCTTAAATTACCTCAACTATATCTACTTAAATCACTGCCTATTCCTGTGCCTGCATCGCACTTGCCATCCCTACAAATCGTTACAAGTCGTTATATATGGCAAAGTAAGAAAGCTGGGAAACTCTGACAGCAAATTTATAAAACATAGCATAGTAGGAGGCACAGGGTACATCGACTTCAAGATGATTATAATGCCACTATCTTGGCACAGCTCAAACCCTGGTTTTCCCCTGAAATAACTAGCGTTTGGAGATATATTGCGGATAACTGGATACTTGGTGTAGCACGGAAAAAAATGAGAGACAAGCTTACATCTCCAACAATAATTGCTTTGGTACTGGCTTTCGCTTATTTTTTACAGAAAGCACCCTTATGTCCATTCCCAGTTAAACTTCCTCTTCCAGTCACAATACTCCAGCTTCTCATTCCTGACCTCTCTCTATGCACATGGTTAGCCAAAAGGTATTTCACAAATATCTGACCTGTACGCCCAAAATATACTCAAACCTTTCTCTATACTACAGTCCAGCTATGACCTCCCTGTGTCGGAGTACTATAGGTACTTGCAAATGACTGTTTATTCCTTAACCCGCACCTTCATAAAGTAATGTATAATCTAGCTTGGAGTTACTTATCTGACATTAAGGTCACTACAAAGGGCATTACGCTCTTTTACAATTTATTACAGGACAATCTTGTGTAAACTAGCTCCTTCTAAAAAATGGGAAGAGATTGGATGCTCTTTTATCACCTTCCTGTGGCAGGTAGCGCTATGGGCTCCCTATAAGGCCACCCCACTCTACAAATCTATGGGAACTTACCTACAAGATTAATCTACGTTGGCATGTCACACTAACTTTTTACACAAAATAGACTCTACCATTTCACATTTATGCTGGAAGGATAGCTCTTTCACCTGAACTGGCTCTACTTAACATTGGCATTGACACTGTTCCACACAATTTCCAATACCTACTCACACACATATTAATGGCTGCCAGACTAATACTAGTGTGCCATTGGAAAACCCCCGATACTCGATCAAGAATCGATTTTAGTACCATGACACATACCCATTTTGCGTATGAGCATATGCTGGCATCCAGTGAAGGTCACCTGCATATTTCAGAAACTCAATGGTCCCTCCTGATCCACCTGGTACACTCAAATACATAATAATCCAACTTAATATATCTCTGTGCATCATATACGCTAATGCTCCTTATAAGACACGTTTGTGCATTTATTGTTAATCGCAAGAGTTTCTTGTTTACGATTTGGTAGGCCCTTGCTAATTCTTTTTTTTATTCTTCTTTTATTGTTTCTCTGTTTTGAATCATTGTCCTGTTCTTAACAAAATATCTTAATAAAGAAATATTGAAATTAAAAAAAAAATGTGCATTTATTATTTTTGGCCAAAAGGTGAACTTATCCTTTAAGGCTGGTTAATTTAGAAAGTTCAAAAAAGGACAGGTTGTTCCAAATTGGGGCATATTGTGTATATCCAGAAGGTTCAGTGATCTTTCGGGTGGATTTCCATACTTTATGAATAAGTGTAAATGTGAGATATTGCAATTTGGCATGGAAATGTTCTGCCTCTAAAAGGAACATTAGCCAGTCATGGGGCAAAAGAGAAGATAACAGTTGCTGAATGGGGTCTTGAAAGTTTGTCTTCTATCCTGTGATTTTTTTAAACATGGGGTGTTAGAAAATACAGCCTAATATTAGGAACTGCCAAATCCACCACCATCTTTTGGTAGCTGTAAGAAAGCTAATCTGATTCTGGGTTTCTTTTGCTTTCAAATAAGATCCTTGAAAAGTGAATCCACCATTTTAAACACTTGCTGCATTATGCAGACGGGGGAATCACCAAGAATGTAAAAGCAACTGGGGCATCCAAATAATTTTAACCAAAATTTCCCACTACTGTTAAGGGTAATTTACACCAGGTATTACAATTCTTTTTTATTTTTGTCTAAAGAATTTCCATATTCAAAGTAATGTAATCTGCAAGGACTGGGGACAACTGTATGTATCAAATATTTAAACATGGATATGGAAACTATCTATTCAGCCACCTTGGGCACCGCCTGTTTTAAGCCTATTTTTTCTGAACAAATGTGCCACATCCATGTGCATTGCATGCATTTGTGGGTCGTCTGCGTTGCTTCCCTATTCATTTGAATGGGTAGTGTTCATGGGGTTGGTTGCCTACCAATTGCAACACAATCCAACCCAACGCCTAAACTCAGAAAGCTTATTAGTAGCAAGGCATTTGTTGCAACTGCTAGATACTGACAAAGACAACAGGTAAAGAGAGAAAATAGCTGTGAGGCATTAGGGAAGATTTACTAAGACTCTAATGTGCTACATCTGGTTCAGATGTGCATGGTAGCCCATCAGCTTCTAACTTCAGCTTACTCAAATTAGGCTTTGACAACAAAACCTGGAAGCCGATTGGTTTCTATTCAGACCCACACCAGATTTTGCACACTCCAGTTTTAGTAAATCTCCCCCATTATGTAATTTACAATAATATTTATTGGTGATTGTAGTAGCAAAAATGAGTTCAGTTATAATCAATGATGTTTGAAATTTCAGACTTACTTTTTGTTGGCAGGATCACATCACTGCATTGATCAGTGTCCAATCTTCTATCATTGACATGTGATTTTCTTCTTCTGGCACTGACTGGATGTTCTGATTCAGAAATAGATTTGGTGCTCCTGGTTTCTAATTCATTACCAATATTTCTAGATGATAAAGAAGACAGGTTTCTTCTATTTTCATTTCTATCCAGTTGCCTCCTATGTGTAATGGGACTTCGAACAAAATCATTTATAACAATATTGTCATCATTTTTGCAGGTATCCCTTCTAGTAGGCTGAATACCAGTTAATCCCAAATCCAGCTTCAAAGAATTTTGATCATGAAAATTCTGTTGAAAGTTACTTAAAGAAGAAAGCCACTGTGGAGTTTTATTTGATGATCCTTCTACCATTTGTCCAGTATTTTTTTCCATTTGTTTTTTCATGACTAAATCTTCATGACCTGATGGAGACATTGAGTTGTCTGGCATTTTTTTAGATTCATTTATATGTCTATACTCCTCTCTGAATGTATTCTGTCTTTTCCCGTCAACGTCTCCAGTCTCATTACTTTCTTCCTCTTGTGTTGTACTTAAATCGTCTAGCCTACACTGTAACAGATGCTTATGTTCTTTTAACACTGAGTAACTTTCTGATGTAGGGGCTTGAAGCAAAGGGCTTAACTTTCCAAATGATGAGAATTGTGGCATATGGTCATTATTGCTGCATGAGCTGTTGATTTCATTTTCTACATCCATCTGGTCGCTGGACGTACACAGAGGAGGTGGGGAGACAGACTTCACTTGTCCAGTAAATAAATCAATAGTGTTGCTGTAATCAAATACTTTATTTCCGCATCCTTTTTCTAAGAACCCATCAAACATCAAAGTTTCATTTTTATATATTCTCACATGTTTTGCGCCAATGTCGAGATACTGAAAAACAGATATGTACACATAAGTGAAAAAATTATACATGCAAATGTTGTTTTATACAAAAAATATTAAGTAATATGCAGGAACATTTGTAAGTCAAATATCAAAGGTTAAAAACGTACTCAAAAATATTTTAGCTATGTTTTAGCTTTTAGATTTTTTTAAATTTCCCAGTACCTCTAGTAAAAGGAAACTCTGAACCTGTTTTTTGCTCATCCCAGCTACAGTATAAGTAAAATAAATAGAGGCATATGGTAGGAGGCAAGGCAGCCCGAAATTCACGGCATGTTCACTCTGGGAAGCCAGCTGTGACTCCTTGCAGCTTTGCAGCCAGCACCTTACTGCGCATCCGCTAATCGCACTGTGCTTTGTGAATTGTCCCGCAGACTCTTGGGACCTGTGGAGTGTCTCAAGAAACTCTAACCATGTTCTTTGCTCAACCCAGCTACAATATAAGTAAAATAAATAGATAAATATGGTATGAGGCAGGGCAGCCCAAACCTCACAGCAATTATCTACTTAAATATGCAAATAGTCATTTGTTAAAGATAAGCTAAAGTCTGCTTCATGTAGCAACCCACAGACTCTCTCACTAGCACAAATGATAGGATTAGAAAAACACTTTTCATTGTAATATACCTAAATCCAGTTTCCAAATTGATGTTTACCCCTTTTCGACTTCTCAATTCATGAAAAAAAAATATACATTCACCCAAGTCTGTTGCCTGGGTCCCTCACCGGTGCGGTTTCTGAGTGTTGGGAACTACTAATTCAGTTCTGTGGTGTGCCAATGTGGCTGGTCCCTGAGAGACCCCTTGTGCTGATGTCACCCCTGCAGACGTCTCTTCCTGAGAAGACCCTGCCACTGGACAGTCAAAAGGAAGTTGCCATGTCACACAGGCAACGACTTATTGGCTCATTGGGATTTTACTGTATTTGGATTGCAGTGCAAGTTCATTACAAGCAGTTCAGTCAGCAAGCTGTATAGACCAACAATTTTGTTTGTGTGGAAATACTGACTTTGGATTACTAAAAGAGAGGGTACAGCAGTACTGATTTTGAAGGGGTTTTATTATAATATAAAAAACGTAATTAAAAGCTCTCAAAAACAGACATTTACATGATCACCACCACATCTTATATACAACATAAATATACAGTAGGTAAAAAAAACAAAAGTGCAACATACATAGTCCTCAAGTAAGTGTGTGTTCCAAGTAGTGGTTTCAACAGGTAGCCATTATCATTGTTTATTGTCTAACAATAGCAGGAAAGAAACAACTACTAGGGGTAGTGGAGTGCTGCTGTACTTAAAGTATAAGTTCACCTGTGTAAACATGTTACACCCATATTTAGGGTATAACATGTACAGTAACATGTTCAGCATCTGCCTGCCCCCCCCCCCCCCACAATTACCTCTCCCTGTGACAGCAGGCCAGAGTTCTGTGAATTATTGAACTGAAAGTACCATAAGCCTTTGCGGCTTGTAGTTCTCAAGGAACTTCCAGTGTGCTGATCAGCGCTCTAGGAAGTCTTAGTCTTTGGGCCCCTGGCACCAGCATGTCTACTCTGGGAAGCCAGCTGTGACTCCTTGCAACATCACAGCCAGCTCCCCACTGCGCATGCGCTAATCGCACTGTGCTTTGTGGATGGCCCCGCAGCCTCTTGGGACCTGTGGAGTGTCTCAAGAAATTGCGGGCGGGGGGAGGGGACTTCTGGTGGTATCACCAAGCCTGCTGCCCCCCCCCCAAAATACAAATCCCAATACAAAATTGGGGGTTGTGTTAAAAGCTGGACTTCCTGCTTAGGTTGAAGTCCTGCTTTAGGTTGGGTAATGACTGATCAATTTCTCAGGAACCCCTTCTCCACAGAGTACTGCTGGACAAAATGCTTAGGAGGAGTAAAGACTTCAGCAAGTTAGGCAAATCACCAAACAGGACCGGATGCCATAGGAATGGTCTTGAATAGTCTAAGCATGTGAGTTAAAAAGGGCTGAGATGGTATCTCTAAACTTTGAAGTAATGTATGCAATATGCAACTCCTCGTGTATCAAGTCTTCAAATAAGGATAAGGGATAATCCTCCTCATCCTCCGCTGACTGTGCCAAAGTACCTTCAGCTTCAGGGAGTTCAGGGATGAATTCTGCACCTATGATCCACCACGCGGAATATATAATGTGAGGGTTCCCACAAGGGGTACTCGCAAGAACACTGCTGGAGCAGGAAATGTTAATGCCTTCTGTGACCCAGTCATTGTAGGCAGAAACACCCATGCAAATTTAAAAAGTATTGTGGTGCCAAAAAGGTGCAATGCAGCCCTCAGTAGGCACATGCACCAAAATGAAACGTCTGTCATGCTGCTCCAGTGGAGTGTCTGCAACACAATGCAAAGTGTTGCAACTCACAGCATAACACCCGAAGGTGGAGAGGGAACACACTTCCTAAGGGTGGCTGGTCCTACAAAGTGAGAGAAAAGTCCATTTGCTCACAATGGTTGTGGATGTGTGACAGAAGCCCTTGTAGGGCCTCAAGCACATAAAACACAGAAAACACTTGTCTGGCAGGCATACCACTGATGGGTTCTTCAGGGACAGGCTTCCACTAGGAGGTGTAACATAGCCCTGGTCCTGTAGAACACTCTGCGGCTGATTCAACATTTTTCACCATAGGAACCTAAGCGAGCACCTAAAGTCCAGTGCTCAATGACACAATACAGGCCAGCCCCTCATATTCCTCACAGAAAGGTCCAGGTATGGCCGCCAAAGCAATGCCGAGTACGGGCCAATCCAAAACCTGCAAAATATGCTCCAGTGGCTCTGTAGCTAGTAAATACTAAAAACACCAAAAAAAAAAAAAATAAATTAAAATATGCAGAATTTTTAATTGTAAATGTACGGGACACACGATGAGGTACACTGGAATTTGCTGGTGCCTTCAGGGGATTAGACACTTACAAAACAAAGCTATAAAGCCAGGCCAGTATAGGCCATCCTACTCCCAGCATGCCTCTGATTTTGCTAGTGTTCTATGAGAACAGTCATCTTTTTTTCTCTGAGAGAAACAAGCTGCTTCCTTTTTTTTTTTCTACTTTTATCAAGATATTTTTTCTAGTAGAATCAACAGAAAACTTCATTCTGATCATGAAGTCACATATAATAGAAGGAAACCCTGCAATAACAAACGCTGTAAACTGTGCAACCAAATCAATCTATCAAAAAGTGTCACACACTCAAAAGGGACGTTCAATATCACAGGACCATGCAACTGCACCTCCATTAATGTTGTGTACCTCATCCAATGCAAAAAATGTCACACAGGATCTAGTGCTGGCGAAAAAGGACCGAAGTTACAAACAACGATGCACTTGTACAGGTATACCATCAAGGAGCATAAGGAAGCCAGTTTCTGCACACATGTGGGACATCATTTCTCATAATCAATGATAGTTTTATTTGACACCAAAGATAATGGACTAAATATAGACCTGGGTTTTCTAAATCACTATCCAACAGTTTTTAAACCCCCTCAAGTCTATAGCTCCTTCTCTGTCTTATCTCACTACCTATGCTACTTTAATTACAATAACTGTGTACATTTGTTTTTTTTTCCCCCCTCAGAGATTGTCTTACTTCAACATTCTGACAAAATGTGTCCATAGAATATTGTAGGGGGCCTCTAGAATATTGAGGTTTGGCAACTGGGGCGCCGAGGGAAGCAACAAGACTTCATCTGCATGCACATTAAACCACGATTTGACAACACCAGCTGTGTGAATAAAACCCTGCAATAAAAAATGCTGTAAACTGTGCAACCAAATCAATCTATCAAAAAGCATCACACACTCAAAAGGGACGTTCAATATCACAGGACCATGCAACTGCACCTCCATTAATGTTGTGTACCTCATCCAATGCAAAAAATGTTGCACAGGATCTTGTCTTATTTCAATATTCTGCCAAAATTTGTACATTAGTAGTAGTGCTTGGATCTTGAAGAAGGGGGTACGCCTCGAAAGCTTGTCCTGAAAAATTATATGTTAGTGCAAATTAAAAAAGTATCGCAGACTGTACTCAATTGTTCCTGGGAATTGACAAATATAAGTCTTGGATGGTGGAAAACAGAATCTGATGCCACTCTTCATGCAAAAATCGTTCCAAGTCTTGCAGAGATGACAGAGGAGGAAAACAAGCCCGAACCTTGTTATCCAAAATTGACCATAGTGGCTCTAGAATATTGAGGTTTGGCAACTGGGGCGCCGAGGTAAGCTGCAAGACTTCGTCTGCATGCACATTAAACCACGATTTGACAACACCAGCTGTGTGAATCGGATCATTATTGTCTCGCTAAATGGCACTGTCTTTGGGAAATGTCTGCACCATGGGATGCACATGGCCAGTCCAAATTTCTATATAGTCACAGGCAATGACTCTACATTTCATGGTGATGATGGGGCCAGCAGAATACCAAGATATGATTGCCCAAACCATGATTGTGCTGCCACCAAGCTTTACCGTTGGCACAGAACAGTCCTGTGTTTATCAAACTGTATATGTTGTCACAACATTTGATCCTGTACCTCATGACACTGCAAATAAATTGAAACTTCAGTTCCAGCAAAAAAATAAACTTCAGTCACAGAGGCACCAGCTAAGCGGGCGCGAACAATTTCTTGAAGCTCAATAAGCACTGAAATTACTCCGTATTACTATCGGCGAACGCAGCGAATGACGAAAGTGAGGTTTCCCACCTGTTAGCTAGGTGTCTCATCACACAGCGGAAGTAAAACAATGTTACATCACTTCTACTTTCAACGTGTAATATGTCTTTATTTAACACCTGCTGATCATATATATATATCTTATATACTAAATTATTTAATAACTAATGTATTTTCAGAGAGAACACAGTTTGACTTGTAAAATTTCTCTTGACACAATCACTGGGACCCCTTGCTCAGTGCCATGTTTCCAATCAGACAGTCTTATACTGTAGTTATGCATT